TTGGCCGTTGAGGCCGGTGCTGTGAAGGTCTTTGCCATTGGCAACATGCAAAGTGCCAAGAATATATCGAAAGTCTTGGAGAATGGAGAGAAAGCGGAGGTTTTTGAGCCGCTGCCTGGCTGCATTACCCAGGTCGTATTGCCCTGTGGACTGAGGAAAGTGGATATAATAGTCTCCGAGTGGATGGGGTAGGAATTCTCGTCTTATAGATATCAATTAGAGTTGTTTCAGCCATTATCTCTTGAAGGCATGCCCTATTCGCGGACTCCTTATTCTGCCAGGTGCTATACGCGCGTGATAAGTGGCTGGTGAAGAATGGCCTAATCTTTCCCAGTGTGGCCAATCTCTATATACAGGGCATTTCCCTAGATCAAGAGCTGGCCCTTGGAAAAAACATGCAATTGTGGGACGACTATGTGAATCAGACATCGTTGATGACAGAGAACTGCCTGGTGATATCTGTGGACCTCAACTCGATTCAAGACGATATTGAATTCCAGAGAGCCGAGATCAAGATGAAGGTCATTCAAAGTGGAAAGATGTCCGGGTGCGTGCTCTACTTTGATATATCCGCTAGAAATGCCAGGGGCCAGCTGCAGAAGCTGTTCTCGATTGGGCCAAACGCGCCCAGGACGTACATGATGCAAACAGTCCTGTTTCTGAAGGACGATGCCCTCGTGATCCAGGAACAACAGCTTCTGTTTGGACGCCTGGACGTGATCCTTGGCTACTTCGCACCACGCGGCGTCGAGTTCTCCCTGGGCATATGGGCGGCAAAGTAACGCACGTAAAACATTGTACTTAATAAAGGGTAAATACTGAGGCGAATACCGAAACTGATGTCTGATGCCCGATGTCCCGATGTCTGATGTCTGATGTATTCATGGCAATATTTGGGCGTTCTTTGGGCAGTTCGCATTAAGGGCCAACACGTCGATCTGGGTGAAGTCTGAACGAGCAGCGACGCTGCGCTCAACGATCGTTGAGCCAGATCACAATTTATGGCCGTGCTGCATCAATTAGGGCGGTAGCCCGACGACTGCCAACTCAGCGGACAATGGGCATTGCGATTTTGTTTTTTGCTGACCTGATCGGTGTTTAGCTTTGACGTCGCTACAACGATTTAAAATGATGTCGCGCATAATTCACCGATCGAGTACGAGATCGATTCAGTATTCAGCGATCAGCGTTCACGTTTTGCCAGACTTTGCGTCGTGCTAGGGCTCCAGTCTCTTATCTGGGCTCGCTTCGTTCGCTCTGTTCGCTCTGTTCGCTCTGTTCGCTGTGTCTGATCTGTGCCCTCGTTTACAGTTAAGTTCTTTTGTTCAAATCTCATAACTGATCGTCGATCGCACTTGGTTAACGCTCCATACAAGGCAGAGTACAATGGGATATCAGCTTGTCCGGCTCGCTGCGAACACAAATTCGCCTTTTAAATGATATCCCTTGGAGAATCGATCCACTGACCGCTCTCAGCTCGCATGCTTAAGTGACATTTTGCGGGACGTGGGTCTGTGATGGATTAGCATCATTTTGCCGTGAGGATAATGTGTCGTCTGCAATGATTTTGGTTGACATGTTTTGGTTTTTGTCTCTTCTCTTCTTATTTTTTTTTCTCTCTTTTGGCAGAGGCTGTTCTCGGAAATAATTATGCTGCTTTTGCGCAAAAGTAACAGCATTTTTGTACAAATTGCATAAAAATTTAAATTGGCCAGCAAAAGTTTTTGATTTTCGCGGCGAGCCCAGAAAATTGCTTAATAATGAAATGCCAATGGATTAAGCGCAATTTGTGCGGTATGCGGCATTCCGCATGGGGCATGCAGCGGGTCGCACTGATCCGTGCCACTCACCGAATTCCACACAAAAGTTCCCTTTTATTTTTTGTCTACCTTCTTCTTCTTCTCTTCGTTTTGGTTAAACAATTGCCCGCCCATCCCCCCTTCAGCAACTTGATTTGCTGAAATTTTATTTTATTTTACACCTACCCTGACCGCCATAAAACGCCCGTCTCATTCTAGCACAGGTGAGCTGCCACTCTCTCTCTCTCTCCCTCTCTCCCTCTCTCTTCTTGTGCTTTGGGGTTTCAGCCTTTCGCACGCTCGCCTTGCAGCGTTTTCATTAAATTCGCTTAATAGCGCAATATAATTTAAACAAGTAGTAACATAAAATAAAACTCACAGCAACGCATTGAAAGGCATAAGGCATAAAAATAAAAAAAGAGCCAAATGCTGCCAGGGCAGAGTTGGCCTGGTCGGCTTGGCGTTGGTCCGGTTCCTTGGCTCCGGCGCATGGGCGAGACGCCCGGCATGGGCCGCAAGTGCAATAAGTTCGCTTAACGAGGGTTTAATTTATGATTTGTTATGTTTCCGGTTCGTGTTCTTGCGGCCGATGCTAAAAATTATTGGCAATAAAGCCAAGGTGTGGATTATAGTTGGCTGGTAGCTTAGCCAGTTGGCCACTGCGACTATCGAGTGATGGAGATGCTTTGTGACTAAGCGAATTAATACTACACATATAGATAGAAGCTGATCAGATCAGATTAGATAAGATTAGATGTGGTCATCTAGAACTGAGATTTCAGCTGGATTTTAACTGCAGTTGCCCAATTTCGCATACGCCACAGTTTTGTCTTTACCACTAATAATCGCTAATCCTTTCACGCTCACTGTGCATTTGCACAGGCCGAGACCGAGGCTCAGCC